TTCATTCATTTTGTTTTAAAATTTTATTTTGACATCAAAGAAAACTGACAGAAAAACCCATATTTATCATATTAATTAAATACTGTACCTGAATATAATAATACATTACTGTAGCTCCTTAAATTATTGATACATGACTGGCAATTTTCAAAAAAAGTATTTAAAGTAGGTGAGTATTACCAAATATAATTAATAAAAAAAAATACTTTTAACTTACATTTTGACATCAGTGTTGAATGGAGTGCCTGATATAATTCCAAGTAGCCACCTGGTATTGTACTTATGACACAGCTATCCATGTATGTCTAACGCTTTAAAAGGGTCATGTGACTAACAATCTAACGAGGAAATACCGTAACTAACAGGATACTGATTTGACTTGCGTCATACAGAATCGGTTGACAAATAAATAATAATTGATTAAATCTGTTCAAATACATTTTATTTTAACTTTGCAAAATTTATTATTTAATTTCATCATAAAAATATCATCATGCTTATTTTACACATTTTTCTTTAAATAATAAAAATTAAGTGTATATAATAATAAAGCAAATTGGCAATATTTTATGGGTAATATTTTTTTTGATATACACTTATCAATGCTGTTTGTTTACTAATGGCATGATGAAAATAATAAATATAGCCACAGACCCCACAATGTAATAATAACTGTGGCCACTGCCACTGAGGAGGGGGAGGGGATGGAACCCAGGGCATAGGCTGGTACAAAAACAAAATTTTAACAATAAATAGTATAATCTCATTCATTGTTTATAATATTGCTTATATTGTTTTTTGTAATTGTTACTAAATAACCCAGACAGAAACATATCATGTATAGACAAATAAAATTAATCTGAATTTGAATCTGAATGTCTATACATAGAGAAAGGGTCTGTAGGGTGTTTAAATCTGGCAGCTACAGATCCCCAGAGGCTTGGGACAACTCTCAACAGTTAGGATCCGATTGTGGCAGAATGTTTATCCCAAACATCCAAACAATTTTAATCAATCTAACTATTGTTTTCTTTATTAGGATGCTAAACATTATTTGGTTAGGAAGTACTTTTAATTATACTTTTATCTTATGCACAAATAAAAATTAATCTATTTAATGTTAAAACCAATCATTTGAGAAAATCCATGTAGGAACAATACTATAAATTTGCATATTGTTATTTTCAAAACAACTATATATATATATTTATAATACTAAACATATTTATTTTGTTATCACAATTAGTTACTGAAGAAAAAACAATCACAGAACAATGCCATACTAATTGGTGTATTATAAATAAAATACTGTATATTTTTGTTATATTTGTCATTGAAAAAAAGTCAAATAAAGACAATGCTACTAATTTGCATAATTATTATTAAATTTGCTATTAGGCTATATTAATTTAAAATAATTTAATCCTGTTTCCAAAAATCTAATGTGGAAATATGATTTAAATTAAAATATTTTTCATTGTTACAGGGCTCTCTTAAGAATTATAGCGTGTCAACACACAACATGTTGTATTGTCGGCTATTAAAGGGGGTTTCAATTTGAGCGAGATATATATATTTTTAAAACTTTTTTTAAGCAAGAACGCGCATAACTTTACTAATGTGCGCGGAAGCATTGAGACAAACAATGAAATATGGCCTCATCTAAATATAATATAATATATCCTTGGTCAATTCATATTGATAAAAAAAAACCAAGTAAGAACAAGGAATACCATGTGCATGTTGTTAATTTCTTTACATTAATAACTACAGTATAAAAATATATTTAATTTAAATTACAAGTACAGCAGCAGACACAATGTACAATATAATTTGCATATTATTATTAGCTTCACATGTATAATAGCTACAGGTTCTGTACTTATTAAAGTTCTGTGGAACCAAGTAGGAAATATCTAATTATCTGTAAAATCCTGATTTTAGCTAGAAATCAACAATTAAATAGGGTTTATTTCTGATTTAATAGGCCTAGCTGATTGATTGATTGATTGATTGAGTGACTTCACTGGAAGTACTCGGTCGGTGAGCATGTCTGACACCTTTTTGTTTTCTAACTTGGAGTAAAAATACATTTATTAGGCAAAACATGTAAATTCCCTGTGTACATACCAATTTCTTATTATTTATTATGACCAACAAATTATCATTATCCTCAAATTATTATAATCATTGTCATGGTCATCCAGTTACCATCATTTTGTTCTTCATTTTTTAGTACACGTCATGAATTTTATCATCAACACTATAATCATTATTGTCATCATTAACAATATTACCATCATTCTCATCATACTGGAGACATCCATTACCATCATCTGCATCATCATGGATATGATCGCTGAGATGGATATGTGCGAGCAGCTCTCTGAGATGGATATGTGTGTCTTACAAGATGCCATTATTATTATTATTATTATTATTATTATTATTATTATTATTATTATTATTATTATCTAATTCCTCATTACCTGTAGAAATACACCATTATTATCACCATTATAATTGAACCAACTATCATTACTATCATCATTATCTCAACTATTACCATTATGGTTATTATCTCCATTTCCAGTATTCAGGCTCTCAAAAGTATGTGGGTACCTGGTTGGTTTTAAATACCAATGTGTTATTATTATTAGCTCAGCAATATTATTAGGGAATTATAATTCTCTCCAGGCAGCTAATTAATGTTCCATACTGTAGGTTAGTTAGACACAATGACTTTGATGGCATGATGTGCAAAAGTATGTTAATTGTTATACATGTTCACATTCACTAAAATTTAATCACACCTTTAATACTACTACCATAATCATCAATTATCCACCTGCACACTATCATCATAAGCATCATCATAGTGTATTATCATCAAACTCATATTATCAACCATGCATCATCATGAAGGCAAAAAAATAGTACATCATGTAGACAAATTATATCAATCTAAGATGAGGGCAGCATGTAAGATTTTGAATAAAATACTGGAAGTACAGTATACAGTATTACAAAGCTGTCTTGCATTACCATACTTCATTTAGGGCATTACATCAAATAAGCTCAATTAGGAAATATCTAGATCAAGCAACAACAACAAAACTTATTCATGCCTTCGTTACCTCACGTTTAGACTATTGTAACAGTCTCTTGTATGGCCTTCCAAAATCTGAAATTAACAAGCTCCAACGCATACAGAACATGGCTGCAAGACTGGTTACAAAAACCAAACGCCATGAGCACATAACCCCAATTCTTCATTCACTCCACTGGTTGCCCATTCATCAACAGATCATTTTCAAGATTCTTTTGATTACATATAACTCCAGGCATAACAACGTACCACATTACATCACATGCTTAATACAAGATCACACCACCAAGTGAACATTACATTCTAGCACTAAAGGGCTTCTTCATACCCCTAAAACATTCACACAGTCATATGGCAATTGTGCCTTTTCATTTGCTTCTCCAACCAACTGGAATAACATCCCATTACACATCAAACATGCAACTTCCATCATTACATTTAAATCTCTTCTCAAAAGCTATTTATTTAACTGACTATGTTATGGTTTATAGAATGGCCCCGAAACTGCTAAATACCGGGATAGTGTCCGGCGGGAGATAGTTTAACTAATTGTAGTTAAGAGTAATATACTGTATTTAAGAGTAGTTAAGCCTAGCTTAAGGTAGTTAGGGACGTCCTGGGTACGACATTAAACACCATCCGGTCGAAGCGTCGGCGACTAAACTGACAACCCTCTCAAATATGTCTTAGTGGCTGCTGAGGGGAGGGTGTTTATGGTCACCCAGCAGCAAAAAAAACCAATAGCTGAACAAAGGGGTGGATGAGCTCCTCGGAGTCAACGGCCAACCATTAATTAGTTTAAGGAATAGGAGTAGTTTAGTCTTGTTATTATTGTTATTATGATTATTTTTATTTTACTTTATTGTTATTATTTTATTGTTATTTGCTTTTTCTCAGTTGGCCTATATTATTTCTCTGTAAAGCGCATAGGGGCAATGTGCAATATGCGCTATATAAATATAACATTATTATTCATACATGAATTGACAGCTAAAACTTTCACGTACGCTGTGTCAAATAATTCAGGTTTTATTTTCTGAAATGCGCAGACGGATTGCTATGGATATTTTGTATTTACTACAAATATTTGAAGACAGTGGTTACTGAAATTCATTTTACTATTAAACTTGAGTAGTCTGGAAACTATACTGCTGGTATCAGTAGACCAAGTAGGCTATAGTAGTACAGTATCAGTATCATGCATAGCCAAATAAAATCTTCATCGGTAGTATGTGACAAAAAGTCCATTAAGGACCATTATTACTGCCATGGGATTTCCAAGCGCTGATTCTGAAGTTGACTGTTTTTGATTTGTTTTGCAAGTGTAACTGTAACTTGTTATTTACTTTGGATTTTATAAACTCTTCTGTTTTTGTTGAAAGAACAATTTGTGGCTTAAGGCAATTCTGGTGTGTGGTCTTTGGAACATTTTGCCATACCCATGTCTTGATCGTCCTTGGTGTGTTTGTAGAGACACAAGATTTATTTCACTTTTACCATTTATTGGAAACAGTAGAAGTCGGGCAAGTTTCTTTCGCTCCTCAAGTGAATCCTAGTTCAGTTCCTGGATCATCTTTGTGATGCTAGAATCCCATCCGGTGTCATCATTAAACACAAACCTGGCAGCTCTAGGCTAGGCCTACACTGACGCTGATATTTAAAGATGCAGCTACTGTAGGTATAGGCCTCTTGGATGGAGAGATGTTCTGACCAGCAGCAAGAGGATACAATAATCAGTTACTAACGTCTAGGCCTACCTAGATCGGATTGAGCTAGTACCTTGCGACAACCTAGGCCTAGGCTAGCCAGCCGTTTGCTGGGTGGAAGGTGAAAGAAGCCGCTCTGACTGAGTCTAGGCCTAGCTGCACCGCAGTACAATGCTACTACTCACCCTGACGATAGTGAAGAGCCAAAGTCTCCTTCTTCGTCATCCATGCCGCCACCGAACATTTTTTCAAGTGTCTGATGCCACTCAGTTATCTAGATTTACTGATTTATTTAAATCAAAACAATAACCTTAAATTCTTCCGGATCAATAAAAAAAGTGGGATCAACCTGGGCCCCACTTCTTTCTCATGTGATTTATGGTGATGAGGGCGCCCTTCAACCATTACGTAATGTTTATTTACTTTTTAAGTAGGAGTTATTCGGTGTCTTACCTTGTGCACAGGTGAACAAAAAAGAGACCAGTATGTTATAGCATAGCACCTCCATGGTCCTCTTCTTATCGTGTCTATTTCATGAGTTCATACTCTATAGAGCTACAGTGCAGCAAGTGCAAAGCACTGGGGCCAGTGCTATTTGGGGCCCATTCATAATTTAAAATAATTTCCAACTTAATTTTGAAGACAAAAATGGCCAGTGGTCTCCTCAGTAATATTCGGTTTTTAGAAGAGTAATTATTGATTACTGTGTTGATTTTAATTGAGTTGGTATTCAAGGAGGCCCATGCCGGTCCCGCACGATCTTGTGGTAACTATGCAGGGGGAAAGTTTGTTTTCTTGGCACAACTGTTTTAAAACCCCCAGACTTTTGATTTTGAGTCTGACCTAAGCTAGTGCTTCTTATTTTCGTATTTTTAGAGTCTGTGTTTATACTGCATAGGCCTAGTCTAAGCAGCGCTGTTTTTGAATCGATTGTCAGCAGTGTCACTCTCCCTCTCTTTTTTTTTGTCAAGAAGGCAGATTTACAGGTGGTTGAATTACTTGAGGATAATTATATTTTTGGTAGGATTATTGAAGTAATCATTGTATCAGGCCCGTACGCTGGATTTTTATTGGGTTGCGAATTTGTAGAGATTGGACCAAAATTCAAGTGGGGGTGGCGCGCTTAGGGGATAGGATCCTGCTGGGATCGAGGGGGGGGGCAAGCTCAGGCATTTTTGATAATTTTAGGTCTTGGTTAATCGATTTCTGAGGATGTATATACGGTTTTCAGGCAGATCTAGAAATTTGAAGAGGGGCCAGGGAGGGACTTTCGCAGATGGAGGAAATACCACCTCAGCCCCACCATGGTTAGGCTGGGAAGAAAATTTATGACAATGGCACCTTCAAAATGGCCGGAAATTGCGCTCTCATACAATGAATATCATTTTCTTTTTTCCCAATTTTTTTTTTTTTTTAAATTGAGGGGAACTAGATTCAGTTGGGCTTCTTGAATCCCCCACTGTCAGTGGCGGATTCTTTTTTCCCAATTTTTTTTTTTTTTTTTTTAAATTGAGGGGAACTAGATTCAGTTGGGCTTCTTGAATCCTCCACTGTCAGTGGCGGATGTATGAATTCGATATAGAGAGAGCAAGGGAAGGAATTTCAGGCACTTTCAATAATTTAAGGTCATATTTAATCGATTTCTGAAGATGCATACGGTTTTAGTGGCGGATCTAGGCATTTGATGAGTGGCCAGGGAGGGACTTCATAAATAGAGAAAATACCACTGTCAGTGGCAGATTTAGGAATTTAATAACATTATATTGTATTTTGTAGTTTAGACAAAAGGCATTGTCTGTAGTTTAAACAAAAGACATTGTAGTTTAAACAAAATATAATATAAACTGTAGTTTCATTCAATGGGGCCCCAACAGTTTTAACATTGAATATACACTGGCCTGGCATCATCATACAGAAACCAGTTTTTTGTTTGTTGCGGTTTGTCTTGCGAACCACACTTGATCGAGTCGCGCATGACCAGTTTGTATATATGTTATTAAAACATGTTTTGTTTCTCACTAAAATATTCTGCATTTATGTAAACTTACATAGAGTACATAGGCCTACTGTAGGCCTATATAATCTGTTGGTTTTGCCATAAAATTGTCTGAAATATTTCATCAGTCATGGACCATTCTATGTTTTCTGACAACGCAGTTAATAGTTCATAAATTCCATAAGCTCTAAGCACAAACGCGAGGGGGTGAAGGCCCCTCGGACCCTGCCAGGGGCCTTCACCCCCTGGACCTCGACTGTTTGTTTGCTTCTCGCTTCACTCGCTTATTAGGGCTCCCAATAACAGTCACCGCCAGGGCCCCACAAACTCTGTGACGCCACTGTTATGCCCAGACTCACTCAATAGGCTTATGCAACCATAAATGAAAACTACAAAATCCTTTCTATGTAAGCCTAAATATTACTTAATTTTTATTATAAAAAGTGGGATTACAAATAGGGATAATAAGGCGAATTTAAACTGTCCAATATAAAATAATAATGTTCAAATAAATGCAAACGAGAAAAAACGATTGACTCCAATTCAAAGTTCCAAAAGTAAAAAGCGGCGAATCCAATAACAGGATTGCAAAGGATAATTTTAATTATGTTGACTAACGTAAATTACTTCATGATAAGTACATTTTTGGTGGGATTATTAAAGTAATCATATATATATACAGTATATATACACACACAGGTATATATATTATATAATGATTACTTGCCTGAATCCTACCACCACTTCAAATGAAACTTTAAAAATGAAAGAATATGTATATCTATTTACAGGTAACCAAGACGAGACTTTTTATACCATCTTTCATGAATGTGATTTAAAATAAAGATACCATTTTATTTTTGGTCAGTTAGCACACCGACTGCCACCAAAAAAGGGATGTTTTTAAAAATTTATAATCTATAATTCTAAATCCCATTTTGTACTTTCAACAATGGTACAGTATTTTATTTGGGGCTTTGGGCAAAACCATTTTGCTAAATATGTGAACACAAAAACTTTTTTTCAGCCTTGATCTGATATCTTTAAAGAAAATAAGTTTGCTAAACAAGGTATTGAAAAGTCTCACTTAATAGAACCCAACTTTTATGCGTTTGTTTCAGTAGGATTCATACAATCCAACCTAAAAACATTTATGAAAGTTAGATTTTTTTAAAATTAATTAAAATCCACACAGATCTTGTTTGTTTCTATGGTTCCCTTCTTAGGTATTGAGATTCTTCATCATCTCCGTAATCTCGTCAATACTTTCTTCCTAAAACAATAAAATACAGTACCAACCATTTAATGTATACAAATCATATATTGATTTTTTTCTAATTGCTATCTCCAATAACAATAACATAACAAAATAACAACAAATTCCATAAGGTACAACCCATATTAAGGGGACACCTTCGGGACCAAAAAGTGTTCCCATATGGGTGTCCCCTAAACAGGGGTACCCTTATTCAAGATTTGACCATTTGGTATGCTCAAAAAGTGTCTCCAACCCCCTTTTCAGGAAAAGTGTCCCCCTGAATAGGGGTGTCCCAAAGAGGGGGCTCTACTGTACTAACAACAATTATAATATAATGAGATATTAATGTGTTCATGTGACATATACCAGCTAATTATAATATTTTAACCGTTGTCAACATTACATAATTTTTTAGTGGAATCACAACATAAACATATCAAAACTAATGTGTCCCCAAATATATAACATTTTCTTGCAGGAGTGAGGAGGCCGTCAGTGGCATAACGATGGAGTCGGGGCCCTGAGGCTTTCTGAGACTGAGGCCTTTCAGTGGTGGCGCCAGCGGGGGTGGGGGAGGGGGATTTTTCCTCTGTAGGACAGCCTGTCTTCCAACACCCACAATGATGACGCTACAACAAATGTTATTTGCTTAACCAAATAAAATATTTCAATTGCTACTCCCTAATGTTGTGGTCTAAAAGCACAATCTGGACCATGCTAAGCTCTAGAAACTCTCCTGTGATCCCTACCAGACATTTTTTTTATTCTGGGACCAGGATGGAGGCTCTAGTCGGCCCATTGGTTCGGACTCCCCTTCGGACATATTGCACCCCTTGTCGGTAAATTTCCGGAGCCACCACTGGGCCCTTTTTGGGTATTTGCTAATTCCGCCATAGGATATTAAATGTGTTTGTTTTTCAATCATGTTTGTCATTGTTATTCTAAATGTTTTTAACAACAAATAAATGATATAATATCAATGGTGGATCCAGGAATTTGAAATAGAAGGGACCAGGGAGGAACATTCAGAGATGTAGGGTCTATTCCACCTCAGACCCACTATGGTTTGGGCTGAAGTAAAAAAATTTATGATTGTAGCACCTCTGGATGGCGGGAAATGGCACTCACAGACTTAAAATTGCGAATATAATTTTCAGCAGGGCGCCCTTCAATCTGCCACTGGATATGATATATGTCATTGCTGCAATTGATGTCAGAGACACATTATGCTGTTATGTACATGTCTCGACACATGACTTTTTGGTCAGGGTGATAAATCAAGGGCCATAGGGGTGGGGCCCCTGCGGACCTCATAGGCATTATGCCACTAAAGGCTGTCCCCATTATTCGTGAGACTTTTGCAACTTATTGGAGACTCAGAACCCCTGGAAACATAGGATGAACCACTTCACAGCCTGTCATCATTGTAAACTGGTGTGTCTAAGCAATAGGAGATAAGAATTGTAAGTGTGTAGATGGAACTCCTGACCACGGTTCATTTTTTATACATACCATAATGATACGATCTTGTTCATCATTACCAAAGATTTGAAAAATGCAGCAAATTAAGTAATTTGCCATTATTGGCCACGCTGGAAGTGGCACATAGCTCTGTAAGAATAAAATGTTTTAAAATAATATATTCGCTGCTGTGTATTACATTGTATTCATCTCCAAGTTTTTATTATTCGGAGAAAATAACTAAACAAAGAAAGGATTCTCTTTTGTTAAAGAGCGAGACATTTACCAAAAAAACAAAATTGACATTTTAAGCCAATCAGGTGGAAGTTAAAGCTGCATAATGGGTCAATGTTTCTCTTTCCTTCACCTTCCCTTCTTATATAAAGTAAACTAGTTTGCTGATTACCTACAATGAAAGGGTGATTGCTGCAGTAACAGGGAAATTATTGACATGAAATATAAATTTGGATAAAGCATTATCACTACTACTGTACTAAAAAATGTTTAAATACCATATATATTCTCATATCTGTAAAACCCATAGCTATCAGTGTCATTAACATGGCCATCAATTCTTTCTTCATCGTTGTGTTGTTCGGTAAGGTTTACGTAATTTTTTTTTTCAATTTTCTGAAAAACTGAACATAAATTATATATTTTATTTATTTATATATTGAACATTTTTTAATTCAGGCATCAAGAGATAATAACAACACTGACTATCAATACATATAAAAAACAATTTATAACACTTATTGAATTTAAGTACAGTACAGTGACTGAGAAACCCTGGACACTGATGCCCCACATCCCTGAGGGAACATCTCAGTTTAGAGGCAAGCATGTAGTAACATAGCAGCCTACTAATTATTCCCTTAAAGGAAGTTGATGCTTTAAATTCTATAATTAGGCAAACGTAAACATGAGTAACAAAGTGGTGTGGCGATTCCAGACACAATATTTACTTTTCCCTATACAACATTACGTATGAAAAATTGAAAATAATTGTATACACATAATATATTTTTGCATATACTCATTTACACAATTGATGCATAAACCGGAACAAGGCAGTTCAGAATATCAAGTGGTTAAGTGGGAAATCCTCTAAATAAAGTAAAATATATTAATAACACTGAACACCAGCAAAAATCGAAAGGCAAGACAAAGGTGTAGGCCTACTCGTTTTTACTTTTTTATTCCGGAAGTAGATTGTTTCAATTGTGCAACTGCCATACAGTTGCGGTGGATGCACAATGCCTCTGATGTAATGCATCGTAATTCAAAATGTTCTTGTAAAATAAGCCTTTGTAATTCTAACAGTAACATCAAAGCATTACTTCAAATTGTTAACACTTTCATTTTGAAGTGCTTTTTATCTTAAAAAATGACAATGAAAACACAAATAAAATTACTTGCATTTCTTTTTTAAACGTTCGTGTCTTGCTAGAGAACTACTCACATGAACTCGATAAACTGACCTTTGACAGGAAAACGCCCTAAAAATTAATCACTTTATCAATTCATATATCAAGTATCGGTATCCAGTATTTTCTGTTTAAATCAAAAAATGATTTAACAATTTTAGATAGAAAATACACTCCTTACTGATTAATTTTTTTAAAACCATAAAATGATTTTAAACAAAATGTGCATTATGAAATATTAAATTTAACCCTTTAACCTCATTATTATTCATAAATGTGTTTGCGCTTCAGTTCACCATATCCGCTACGAGACGTCATGCTGCAAAATCAGTTGAGAATCAGGTAGAAGTAGTATAAAATATTTTTGGTAAATCACCATTTAATATACTTAGTTATGTATTAGTATGTATAAACATACAATTTAGAAAAATATATACTATATAGCATGCACAAATATAATCCAGTTTTTTTTAATAGGCCCATCAATAAAAGAGACTTTTTAATTATATGTACAATGTACGCTCTAATAGCCACAGTAATACACAACAATTGAGCATTATCAGCATTATAATAACAAACCATGGCTATAATTATCAAAAGGACAGAAATAACGGGCCTAATGCATATTTTCATTCTTGTTTGTCGAACAAGACAGAATACCGTAACACAATCCACAAGATTGTCGGACAGGCTCTTCAACATGAACCTAAACTCTATAGACAAATCCAATTAGAAAAGGTTGCTCTCTGGCACAGCCATTGCTGGGGACCTCCTTTGGGTCCCCCATATCTATGTGTTACTGTACTTCATATAATACAATCATTTAATTTTGACCATGGGTTAACCATGGGGATTCCTTGTGTAACCGGCACCCTGATTTCCATAGAAAGCTCAATATTAAAACAAAGAATGTTTGGTCATTAACATTGCACTCGAATCATTAAACAATATCAGGAACATGTACAACTTTTGTTTTAATTACATTTCTGTTATTTCATAAAATAAATGAACTGTATTTGCATTGCAATTACTGTTATAATACAGAAATAATCCAACTGTAACTCATTCTTAGAATAAAAGATTCAAGACTACAATTTCATATTTTACTGTATGCAAATTGCAATAAAGTTGTTGGTATTTGTACAGATGGACTTAATCTTGAAACTGTTAATAAATTAAACACTTTTTTGTAGGTTTTATGTCGGTAGTGTTTACAACTATGAACATTTTTGTTTATATTGCCGGCGGAAAACTTCTGTATGGAATTTTATGGAAGAATAAAGTATCTGAGTTTGTGTGCATGCCTAAAGAAATAAGGAAAAAACTGAAAATTTAGACTTGCTTTAAAATCTACATTTAATTCTAGTTGGATCAAATAATAATAGTGTAGTTACATATTGCACCATATTTATCTAACATAAGATGCTCAGGGTGCTTGATATGTGGAATAGGAACTCAATCAATGACTTTCTTCACCCCTAAGGGTCCCTTTGTGTCTGGTAACCCGGTACCAGCAACTCTCATAGTCCACCACCGGGGCTGTCTGTTCCAGTACACCGGGGTATCCCCCTACTCGTCTTGAAGAGTGACTTCGTTCTTTATAGTACACAAGAGCCATTGTATACACTGGGCCTAGGATTTATAGTCCTTATACGAAAAGACTTGTTCTACCACCAGAACCATAGGTGAGCGTGCCATTCTCATAGGTGAGCGTGCCGTTCGAACCAGCGCCGGTATTATGGCTGTAGCTTGCCGCACCCCAGCTAACTGCTCGGCCATTTGACTCACCCTGATCATGGACTAGGATATATGAAATATGTACACTGTATTTGCATAGGTATTAGGATGATTTTAGACCAAGACAAAGGACACCCTTTACCTTTGTCAAAACATACCGCTGTTTGTACTTAGATACAAATATGTGGTACGTTTTAAGATAAATTTTGTGAAGACATGGTCTGTATAATAATTTTGTGATAAATACAGTAATGTGCACAGCATGTGTTCAGAAGAATTTAACCAACTTGTGCTGTTTTAATTTGAGATTTCTGCTCAGAAAAAAATGTTTGTGCAGAAGGGAAGAAAGGAGAAATAGTGAAAATAGTGTAGTCAAGCAAAGGATGAGCAACAATACTGAACTGACCATGTAATGAGTATGAACAGCTGGATGCGAATATTCTATGTTGAACTCATGTGATCAGGTTGCGTTTTGTGTATGGTAACGAATCACAATGACTTGAGTAATAATATAAAGCACCTTCAGATACAGTAATTGGATATGGAAAGCACTACAAATATTGTTAAGCTAATTATGCCAATTTTTTTATAAAATGTATAAATGTTCATCTAGTTTGTGCATAAAACGCATTACAAGCTCTTTTTTTTCAAACCATAATTGTTATTATTATAAGGCAATATAATTGGAACCTTTCTTTACAAAGCATGTTTTCATAAATTCTCTACAATATTTTCTAGTGAAAATGTACAAGAAAAATGGATTAATGAGTATTTATTCTTTTATTTTTACTACAATCTCATTGTACATACACATAAAGCATTTATATACAATCACATATAATGCAGTGTTGATATATAACATGCATTTAAAAATATTAAATGTATACAATACTTATTTGAATAAGATAGTATAATAAATACCCCAAGTACCAAAATGCACGCCATCGTGTCGGGATTCAATATTTCGACATTAATTATGTCATCATCAGGAATGATGATGACATAATTAATGTCAAAATATTGAATCCTGACACGATGGTGTGCATTTCGATACTTGGAGTATGTGTTACACTATGTTATCTGAGATTAATCAGTGGACCTTTCGGTTATTTGAATAAACACCCAGGGTTTTTATTGTTGTGGAGGGTTATTGAGGTGGCATCTATTCGAAGGAGGAGTTTATATACTCAAATAAACGCCCCTTATTTTTTCTGTAAATGTGGAACTACAACACATAATTACCGTCAAAATGTGACATTGTGTGATCATAAAACTTATTGATCCCAACGAGGTTAAAAAATGTAATTCTACAGAAGTAGAATATATTCATAGAATGTGTTTAGAATTATGTTACTTCTAGTTTTGTTTACTGTCCTTTTTTCTGGGGCATTTATTCGAGGAAAAAATTAACAACACAAGGCGTTTATTTGACAGAGGTATGTATTCCAAATGAGACTCTGGAGTGGGAGTTTATTTGAGAGGATCATTTATTCAAAGCAAGACGTTTATGCGAATAAATATGGTAAATAATTTTAAAAATTGAAAATTAAAGTTATATACTGATTTCTAATATGTTTTCTTGTTGTAATGTGCAAAGTAATTTTTTCTTATAATTGCACAATTATCAAACAAGACTCTTCATACTGTATATATACAGTCCCCTATATTTTATCCTACTTGGCATTAATCAATGTAGTTGTTCCTCATTCAATTTATTTGGTAAGAAGTCCTCATAATACTATTTTTTATTTCTTGATGAGTAGGATAGAAATAAAGATTATTGAATTGAATGTTCATTATAATCAAGAAAATTGCTTAACTGGACAATGTTTACATAAACTGTTAAAAACTCATCTGTTCAAAGAAACATAATATGTATATATTTTTTACGTTTATGGGTGTAGCACCTTGCAGTTTTTTTTTTACATTTTTTTTGTTTATTGATTTGTAACTGTTTTTTGTAATGCTCTCAGTCATATTCTGTGACCAATCTTCTCAATAATATATATTTTACATCTTACTAGCAAGTAACATATTATATTTTATTGTTATTACCTTGTAAATTGTATTTATTGTTTTACAGGACTGTATTAGAAAGCAGAACTATTAAGTGAAGGGCTACACACTCTATAGACTCCAAGAATGTTTGAAATAAGTTTAAATTAAATATATATTTGGTAGATTTACAAATAATAAAATAAATATTGAAAAACACATTATATAGTTTACATTAGCATCACAAAATTAATGTTTTGTTTAAAATCTGATGCTTTACCTTTTAACTAGTGTTTTGGTACCTTATAAAATGATTCTATTTCAAATTTCCAGTGATCTTGAATAAATTTTCTGAGTTACTGTCACCTCTTCGGAAAAGGGTCAGTGTACTCTGGTAGCCTCTTGACCACTTCTCTGGCCAGATCCTTATATGCTTTGGCCTGGTCACTTTCAGGGTCGGACACAACAATAGGTGTTCCATCATCTGACATCTGTCTTATGTTTAGATGTAGAGGAATATCAACTGTACAGAATATAATTAAGTACAAAATAAGGTTAATTAAAAATTAATATATTCTACAACAGACAATTAAAAATGTCAAACAAAACCCTGATCACTTATTTATCATAAGCTCTGCCTACACTATCAATTTTTGTGACAAATGGTTTGTGAATAGATGTCATGTGACATCATCATGCCCACATATGGGCAGATCACATATATTTGTCACAGAAAACTCAATAGTAGACAGTAATCTAATAAATAGGGTTTCTGGAAAAAATGAGCAAACATATTTCTACATACTTTCACCTTCCCTTTACTCACAAGGCAGGGGTCCCAAGTTGGAAGAAGCCATGTCTGGGAGATCTTTTAATGAGCTTAAATTCTATTTTGCTGTGCATGGTAATACCCATAATTACTGACGTCTGTGAGACAATTGAAAATACATTAGTAAAACATGATGCAAATATGTGGGAGATGGCTTATTTTCCAGGATATTCTTCTTGCTTGTGGGTGTGCAGGAGGCCTTCCCATCTTCCGGGAGACTTGAGGGAGACTTGGGACCCCTAACAAACTTCATATATCTACAGACACACCCACCAATATATATACACACACACACACACACACACACATATATTTATATGTTTGCATGAGCTGAAATTTATAAATATTTATATTTACCTAGTATATCTATTCCCAACTCATCCGCTACATTCTTAACCCCATCTTCTCCAAATATATGAGTGTTGTGCCCACACTTGGGACAGTTGAATACACTCATGTTCTGCACTAGACCTAGTACCTGAATTATAAAATTGAAATGTTTGTATAATTATATGACATGTTATATAATATTTTATGTTCTAAGTCTGAGGCTCATTGAAATCAAATTTATTTCTATTTGCCAAAAAAAACTAAAATAGTGATACATTCTATAAACACAATAAACAGAATGAGCAAGCAGGGACACAACAAACAACATGCATACACAGCTAATACCATTAATTAGTCTCTAGGAGCCTGCCACCATGCTTGTTCATTGCACACACATGTAAAAAAATCATCCTTAAATGCATGTTGAAAATATAATCGCCCTCCAATGTTTGTATTAATTTGCTTACTGGTATATTGACTTTCTTGAACATTTCTGCTCCTCGTCTGGCATCCATTAAAGCAATATCTTGTGGGGTGCTCACAATCACTGAACCTGTAAGGTACAGTATAACTGAAGTCAGCAGCTACCGTAATTAATTGCAAATGCATTATAAACAGTGATGGTAGGGAGTTGAATAAACTTATTTGTGATTGTTTACGATTGTTTATAACATCGTGAGTCATGTTTTTACCTAGGCCTAGGCTAGAGCTGATATTCAAAATGAATTATTTAGATTTACAAAAATTTACGGGAGGACTTTTTTATGCGGTAGCAAAACATAGGCTTACGGTAGTGCGGTAGATCATGACTAAAAACGGTAGACTACTGCAAGTAGCGGTAGACTTGGGACGTCTGCATTTTCCGTGGCAGTCATCATTTTAAAAGAAGCCAATTAGGAGTTGCATTACTTACAGTAGTAATTTACCTAAAAGTCAAGTATGAATACATACCATCGACAGGTATGAGCTGTGATATTGACAGCTGAGTATCACCTGTACCAGGTGGCATGTCCACAACTAAATAATCCAATGGTCCCCATGACACCTGTAATTCATATGAATGTTAAAAAATAAAATCATAAAAATAACAAATTTATGTAATTTATTACAAACTGACAATATTTCAGAGAGAAGCTTAACAGAATAGAAACATGAACAAGGATCTTCATGGTTCAACAGAACACAATGGTTATCAGCAGCTTTAACCTACACTGCACTCTATTATATTTAATACACACCATTACTGTTATATAACCTTCCAAGTAGATATCAATGGAAATACAAGTCACCATCCTAATAAAGACCACTTTTGGGACCAGATTTTTCTTGGTCTTTAGCAGATTTGGTCTCTAATCAAAAAACAAATTATCATAAAGAATAGGTGTTCATCCAGGGCAACAGAAAAGTGGTCTTGAAATAATTGGAGGCAGCCTTTTATTAGTTGGAGGGGTCTTTAATTAGAGGGAGACCTGTACCAGTACAAAGCTTGTGTTGGACAGTTAAATCTCTTGTGCCTTAGTACCCACCTGGTGTTTACAAGACAATCTTCCATCTAATTATTGACAAGTCCCAATGTTGATTACATTGATGGTCTCACAAGTACCAGTGTTACAATGTGATATATATCCATTGGATGGTGTTCATTTAATTAATTTTGTTCATCATATTACCTGCCTGATGAGCTTTTCAACAGCAGACATCACCATTAGACCTCGCCACACAATAGGTGATGTCTCATCCACTAAGAATCCCATTGACATACTATAGATAAATCATAGTATATCTTTATATAGTATAGTATTTTTTCATAAATATTCATCAATTCATCACATAGTCATGTTAGAAGGATTTATTGTTTTGTTTGGAAATGAATGAAGATGGAAAAATAGATATGTAGATTGGTGAATATTAAGCAGAGGTGGTGAAGGTGCTCTTCTTCAACCTGGACAAGAATCACATAACATTGCTTCCCACAATCAAAAACAACTTTAATAACAAAAACACTTACCAAGATATTCCAAAGTTAGTCACTGGTTTCATCAGATTTTCTGAAAAAGAAAAAAATATCTTAAATATATATAAGAAGGCCTTGCAATCCGGGCCCCTCCTAATGGGGCCTGGGAAAGGAATAGCAGCTACTGTATACATTCTTATCCTTAAGAAGAACTTACTGTGTGTTAACTCAGGCTGCTGACCACTTAAATTCATCATTCTAGGAATTGATGGACCGTAAATGTCAGCATCCAACAGACCTACAGACAAAGCCTGCAAAACAGAATGGAAACATAAGTTGATCAATTAGATCGATTTTAAAATATATGTTACAGGGGAATTTGTTGCAATAATGTCTGAATTCGACCCAAGGCATTCAGTGAAATGTCCAATGAAGAGCTATAAAATTATAAAGTCAACGATCCTGATACAGGTTGATAAATCATTTAATTTTGCTAACGTGGAGAAGCTATACAAACATATAAAACAAACATGGATTTTGATATTGAACTGATATACTAATTTAAATGCAATGCCTGAGATTAAACTATAGCAATGATTGCTGCTGGATTCAATTTTAGGGTTCTCATAATTATTCATCCAGCTTTTGTGTTGATAATCTAAGCATCCTGAGCATTACTTTATTACTTTTTTTGCAATTAAATACAAAATTCAGTGCTTTATTGTTAACATACCTTGTTATTTGCAGCAATACCAAGAGCAAGATTGACTGAGAAGTAGAAATGAAACCTTACGTGTTATTAGTCAATATCAAATTTTAAAATAAATAAATAAATAATATATATATATTAATTTAATAGGTATTATTTATCATTATTATTATAATATGATATAAAAGAGTACTAATCATAATGTATTTCTGTAATACTACTCACAGCACAACATATAAAATTAATTCAAATTAATTTCCCAATTTACATTTTTTTTAAATAATTGTAGTGCAAGGGTATAACAGACAATAAAAACCTTTTTGTATATATATTTCAACAGAAAATCCCAAAAAGTGCATTGATATACAGTGAACAACAGAGACACATATATATATATATGAAAATACAGAAACAATGAAAATAAATTAATACTAAAAATAATGCAGGTTGTGCAAACATTAGCAAACACAATTCTTTGAATCAATTCATTTGGAATATTTTTTTTTTTGGAAAAAGAATTAATATAAAAACAAGCAAGCATTTGTTTATTGAGATGATAGACATTGATCAACATTGCATAAATAAATATGATACTGTATATGGTAACAGAGAATTTCTAACACTCAAAATAAAAATAAAACTAATTCTTTAAAATATACTGTTGTTGCAATTGAAAAAAAGAATTTATAAAATTTATACCAATTTAATAGTCATAATATGCAAGATTTTATATATTATGTGTTAATTGGCAATGAAAATACTTCCTCAATCTGATTTTTAAATGAAAGTTTTTTTTTTCCAAGTTTATAAATTCAAAACATCAAACCAATCAATTTTCAAACTCACCAGCAGTTGTTGATTTACCAACTCCGCCTTTCCCAGAAGCTACTAAGATAATTTGCTTGACTCCAGGAATTGGCCATTTCTTTGGTAAGCCCTTCTCTTTCAGGGGCGTTGCCCTTCTTTTATCAGTGCTATGAATTCCCTATAATAAAAAATTAGCAGAAACAAATCTTGTATCATTATATTATGGTCAGGTAAAATGCACTGAAGCTACTGTAAAACAAATATATCTGAAACTTTTTATTTTATTGTTAAGAAAACACACATCTGTACAGTGTTTACCAGAGCTCTCCCCAACAGGAGGGCCGCCCCTCCACCCACCGCTGGCGCCACCCCTGTTTTGCATCTTAAAAACATATTTTTAAATAATAATTTAATATAATATAATTTTTATATCTGTAAAATATGCAAAACTTTTGATTTTGGAGTATTTGTGTCAAGGAGCAGAAACTTTGATCGTGAAGTATTTGTGTAAAAAAAAACAACCACATTTTGCATTGTCAGAGTTGGCCTGTGTACGCACAGCTTGCCATGAACGATGTAATCAATTTGGAGTTGATGGAACCACTTTCTACTAAAAAAATACTTAGTTTTTATTTAATGAAAATAAAAAATCTCATATTTTTTATTATTTGCACAGGATGCAGACATTTAGGAATAAGCAAATTACATATTTGCATATTATCGAAGAAATTTTCTCCAAAATCCGAATATGCTACTCAATATATAACATAACAACCAAATACACCACCAGGACGGACAGCCTATGTCTGCGAATCAAATTTCAAAGATTTATCTAGGAATACCATGATTTCAAAAATAAGGACTAATTTCCATGCAAAGTTTATTCAATTAGAATTTACGATTTAGCTTTTTTTCTATCGATTTTCAGTGCAGACTTCAATTACTTACACTTTTATTTAAAATTAAAATTAAAAATTCCACGCACATACTGTCGCACATGAAATTTACAGCCGTCTGGAATCCATCACACTCAGTCAGACAACGTGCCGCAAACCTAAAGTACATAAGCATAGGCCTATCCACCTACTCAGCCACCACTTAATCGTAACCACACAGTACTCTCCTCGCCTACTAACTAGGCATATTCGAGGAGGCAGTAGTAGAAAGCTAGGCGGCCACTCACTGGCCATGGTCCTGGCTTAATTAAGACTAGCTAGCCTACCCCTCTCTAGGCTAGGGTAGGCTACTTTTTTGTTGGGTGAAATTGTAATATGACTTGTTTACGTGTATTACCAGAGGATTATCATGTGATGACAAGTTCCTAATACAATAAATACCCGAGCACGTCAATGACTTTACACATCTATTAGTTATACTACTAGCAATTCCGAATACATTTAAATTTAACATGATTATTTAATGTTATTGTTTACGAGAGAGCGGAGAGCGAGCACATGTTTTCAGAAGCACGCCCTCTTATTATATATTGACCGAGTGAAAGATTCAGCAACATTTTAGTTTTTTTTTTGACAAACAATTAAAATAAAGACTCATATATACATTAAGTTTATCTAATATCGAAATAAATAAATAAATGCATAAAATTACTGATATAGATGCGTTGTTATTTTAATTCACTTAACTAATTTGTTCAGAATGATATATTCATTCATATGACAAAACAACAAAAAGACGAAAACAATCATGGCAACGGTTAAAAGTATGAACATGTGTGCTATAGAGGGGGTGATGGTTTTTGCAGATGATTGTGAAATCATCTGTTGAGTAAAGATTGAAACATATTGAATTACTACAAAATTAGTAAGGGTTTGTTGTATTTAATTCGATATTAAACACAGCAAGTATTATGCCGCGTAAAAAGGGAAATAGAAAGGCGAGGGGTGATGACGATGAAGACGATGGTGTAGTTGTAGAACGAACAGAGGAAGTGAAGGCCAACAGCACAACCGATTCAGCAGGGAAAGGAAAGAAAAGAGGTAAACTCCGCCTAGCCTAGGCCTATATGTCAGCTAAAGGGCCAGGGTTAAAACAGTGTGATTTGGCCAGGCTAGACTACTATCAGATATGGGGTGTGCTCACAGTGGCCAGTGGTATAGCTACAGAGGAAACAGGTCAACTCGGCCACAAGTCAACTCAGCCACAAGTTATTTATAATATATAACATGTTATATATAAAATAAAATAATTAAAATGAAATGTAAATATTACTCAGTTTTTGCATCCTTTTTCTTCAATATGAATGATTGAAATGAAGTACACAGTTTTGGTAAAATTCTGATCATCGTCGTGAGATCGTTGTATTCATTTCTTCATACTGTACTCTACTATACTTATTTTATAATAATAATACTAATTAGTAATATTAAATAATAACTAGGCCTACTTAGTAATAATAGTGTAATAATATGAATAATAAAGGTAACAACAACAATAATAATATTAATAATAATAATAATATGAGAAAAATACCAATAAAACACCAATAACAATAATTTTTAAATTACTATTATTAAAATAATAATACTAAGACTAATATATAATAATAATAATATGAATAATAATGATGATAATATGAATAAAAAAAATCGAGAATAATATTTTATTATTTATATGGTAACAATAATAATGTCAAAAAAAATTAAATAATACGTAATGTTAATGCCAAGACTAATAATTAATATTAAAACTAACGGTAATAAAAACAACAATAATAATAACAATAGTAACAGCAATAATAATAACAATAAGTTATAGTAATATTTAAAGAATTAGTATTTTATGCTTCATGAATTACTCCTTCAAAGTGTAGTACCAGGCTGCAGTTGACTTGTGGCTGAGTTGACTTGTAGCTGAGTTGATTTGTGGCCGAGTTGACTAGCCAAACTTTTTGTGGCCGAGTTGACTGTGAGTCAACTGTGACTGTGAGTTGACTGAATAATAATCTTCAAAATGATAATACTCACTTTTTAATATTAATATTCATAGTCATAAAAATCTTACTAAATATTATAATCATACTAAAAAGAATTAAATTCTCAATCTGTAGTAATAATCGTAATATATATATGTGAAAGCTTGCGGTACACCATGTAAGTAGTTCTGAAAAGAACTGTTGTAGTTGAGAAAGTCTCAGATTTCTTCGCCATGCAAACCTTTAAGCAATAGTAATATAATAATAATAATATCTATCATAATAATAATCATACTGTATTAGAAATCAAATTCTTTAAAAATGTTTTTGAAATCTAAATAAAAAAATATTTTACTTGAACAACATAAGCAGCCCACTTTGATCATGCCTCTAATTTAGGATTGTAATGTTAAAGAAAAAAAAATGTTTTAGTTTCATTAATTGAATGATTGATTGATTGATTGATTAATATTTCAGTTATTATTACCCATACAGTACTTTGCAATTCAAGTTACTGTATTTGCTATTTATTCATTAATCATGCATCTGAGATTAAACATAAACTGGTGCAGGTTCTCATGATTGAATGTGCAATGGAATATAACTACTGTACAGTCCGCCAACTTTACTACATTCTGTATTTTAATCATCTAGATAAGAAGAAAGGAAAGAAAGGAAAGCCAGTAAAACAGATTGATAATAGTGATGACGACGACAAAATTAAAAAACGACTAGATCAGCTTGCTTTACAAGATGATGATGATGAGGAAGATGAAGATTATGTGCCTCCATCTTCAAAAGGCAAAGGTAAATATTTAATTTGTTAGAATTTTTTTAAATAACAATCTGATCGTTGTGTTTCGCTGTAATATCGATTACTATCGGTGAGCTTTCAAACATGATTGTCAATTGCGATTGGGTGTTGCAATTGCTACTCTGATCACAATGCGATGCTAGTCTAAATAGGGTATAAGTCAAAATGTTGGCACTTACTGAACAGTACTTAGTACTGATTGATTGATTGATTGAGGATTTGTATATATGTATTAGGTGGAGGATTTGCGCTTTTGGGTGATATGGAGGAAGAGATGGCTGATGATGCAGATGAAGAGAACAATGCAGAGGATGAGAATAAAGAAAAGGAAGAAAAGAAGAAAGAAAAATTATCAAAGCTAAAAGAAGATGAAGGCAGTGAAAAGCAAGATTCTTCAGAAAAGGTAGCAAAACCAGGTATGGAGGACATTATCATAATTCTTTACTCATGATGATTTTATACTCAGTAACTGATAACTCAGGTTTTACTGATGGAAAAGTTTATGGATGATTCATAATCTAGGCTGCCACATCAGTGAGGGGCAATAGATTTCATTTTTCCTCTCTTGCAGTGTCAATATTTGTATATTATATTCCTGCAAGAAGTTACACTGATGTGTGTGTGTGTAATAGTGGTACTGATGTTTTTCTGATGTCTGATATTTTAATGGTGTTTTATTCATCTTGAGATTTTATCTGTCCTGTTATATTTTCATATTGTTAATAGAACTTAAAAAGAAGTCAAGAAAGGAAGAAAGAAGGGAACGACAACGGGTGAGTATATAAAGAATAGGCCAATGGAAAAATTACATATTACAACAATTTGGTGTTTAATTCTGCCTAATTATCCTCATATAAAGCTCATAATCTTGGAAGTTGGAGAATAAGTTTGTGTGTTGGAGATTTGACCAGTTGTTAGAATACAATGTTCTTTTTTTCTGGTTGTACTTGTATAGGCTCAATTAAATAAAGAATTGGAAGAAATGGAATCATCAAATTTCTCCGTCTCACAAAGGGAAACAACAGCAAAAGGTGCCATGCTTGAAAATGCCACTGATATTAAGGTATGATTATATGTAAGGTAGTGATCATGATGGTCAAAGTGGTGGATATGCAGTGCTGATGGTGATGATTGTGATTTTGAATAATGGTGATATGACAAATATTGACGGTGAATGGTGAAATCTATTGCCCCTAGGTCATGTGGAGACCGTAGCGTACTATCTTCCCGAGTGGTAGTAATTAGTGATTATGATGATAATGTTAATGACAACAACAATGACAATGTGGCAGTGATGGAATATATGTCCATAATGCGAAAGTGTCAAATGATGATGATATTAATGTTATATTGGTGTTATTATGAAGATGAGGGATGATGGTGTATTGATAATTTATGATGACTGATGCTGTGATGAATTACTTAACAGTTTTTGTTGGTACTTTGTTTTTCAGGTTACAAATTTCTCTATTTCTGCGCGAGGTAAAGAGCTGTTTGTGAATGCCAGTCTGACGATTGCAGCTGGTAGGAGATATGGACTGGTTGGGCCAAATGGGTAAGGAAGCTGTAAATGTAACACAAAAAGCAATATTAAATAACAAATAAGGCAATGTTTGTTACTGAATATAATTGTATATCTTATTCAGTCCACCCCCAAAAAAGTAGCAGTACCATCCAGAAACCATCTTTTGTTAATTTCACAATAAGAAAAAACACTTCATTTTGTTGCATTGCCAGATGATTTCCTGCCATATTCTCTTATAGCAAATCAGATTGAAAAAGTGTTACAGGTTCTACAATTACAGTACCAGTAATATAGATATTCTTTTTTTCTCTTAGAATGGGAAAGACCACATTATTATCGCACATTGCCAAGCGGTCACTGGCAATACCACCGAATATAGATGTTCTTCTCTGTGAGCAAGGTGAGTTTCAGAATTATTGAACAGCCAGTGTGTTGATTTTTTGATTGAAAGGTAATACTATCGAAAGGGAGTGTTTGTTTTTTGGTTTTTTTTTTCATTTTATAAACATTATGACACCTGCATTCTCTTTTTGCAGATGTCCAAGCTGATGATACACCTGCCTTTGAAGCAGTATTAAATTCAGACAAGAAAAGATTAGCTCTTATCGAAGAGGTACGACAAAAACTATGTATTTATTGTTACGCATGCATGAGCAACTGCTTAAGTGCCCATTCTGAGGAACAAAATAGAGTATGATTTCGGAGTCAAATGTCATTCCTTACTGATGTACACTTGCACACATAATGTCATGTCTATTTTGATTAATTACTTATGTTTTTTTCTCTTTTGTGGGATCGTCCCACTTTTATTTCATCATAATGTCATATAAATATATATGTATATATATATATATATATGTATATGTATATATATAACATATAGCCTACATTTTAACAGTTTTTTTTAATGTCAATATTTAATAAGTAATAGCATTTCACATCCATAAGTTATAGGTAAACATACAGTTGCATACGTTAGTCAGGATCTCAACCATGATACTTTTATTATTCCTATTAATAATAATAATAATAATTACTTATGTTAAAATTGCCTAAGAACAGAAGAATTATATATAAGAATAATAGTATTCTGAATTGTTTCCTTTGTCATTATTATAATTTGGACTTTACAAAAGCAACATAATAAGCAATGGTTACCTATCAAGTTATAAAAGTAGCTGCCACTTTTTTCTTATAATTATAGGAAAAGAAACTACTTGCAGAATCAGAAGCTGGTAACAACACAAACAGTGAGAGACTTAAACAGGTAGTTAATAAATCCATTTAGTAAACCAGGAGTCTAGTTGAATAGTTTGGTGATTAAGATGCTCACCTTCAAATCCCAGGGTCTTGGGTTCAAATCCTGTAATTTTCCAGGATTTTTTTCTCATGGCAAAACAGCTCCACTCCATAAGCCTTGTTATGAGACTTAATTTACGTAGAGCATCATGTGTATGTTTTTCATGTGAAGGGATTGCCACCTATCTAAAAGGGCAGTGATTAAGTGGCTATTGGTATAATCCTTTGCCATGTGCAAAGGAATAAAAGAAAATTAATTAATTGAATAATAAAATAAAGTATGAACAATTGCCCAATAGTCTATTTTCTACAGAGTTTTTTTAATTACCTATATTAACAGAGTTATGTTTCTTATTAAATCTGGAGTAATAATTTTTTCCCATATATTTCAGGTCTACGAGGAAATGATTGCAATTGGCGCAGACTCGGCTGAGTCAAGAGCACGGCGTATTCTCTCAGGTCTGCAGTTCACACAGGAGATGCAGATGAGGGCGACAAAGCACTTCTCCGGAGGCTGGAGGATGAGGGTATCATTAGCGAGGGCGCTATTCTTAGAACCGACTTTGCTTCTTCTTGATGAGCCAACGAATCACTTAGATCTTAATGCTGTTATCTGGTTAGACAGGTATGTTAAACCCTATGTATTTATTTAAGATTTGTGTTTATTATTTCTTCTTATTCTACTACTACATGCAGTTTCTGTACTCATGTAATGTATTTGAAAAGAGTACAGTTATAGAAATGATATTTTTTTGTTTTTCATTATATTTTTATGGTTGTTTATGTATTGTTTATAATTTATATGAATATATTAATCTTGTTTTAGTAGCAAACAAACAGAAATTTTATTGAATAATTAGTTCACTGTGGGTAGAGTGCCTAAATAATTATTCTTATTATTTAATATCTTATTATATTTTTTATTATTTTATTTCAGCTTTTCATATTTTTTTTCACTTTAATGTATTCTCTTTTTTATTAGTTATTTACAAAATTGGAAAAAGACACTACTTGTAGTTTCCCATGACCAGCAGTTCTTGGATGATGTTTGTACTGATATCATCCATTTAGGTAAGTTAGGCTCTATCAGCAATACCAAATTTTGTGTGACAAATTTGTGTGATGTGCCCATATATGGGCATGATGATGTCATATTACACCCTAATATGGGCATATCACATTTATTTGTCACAAATTATTACCTTATTACTAGTTACAAATATTTTCTTAGCAATCTGAATAAACATTACCCTAACTCTTAATTATTAAATTAAATTTTAAATTTTTAACCTCATTCTTTTTAATAATTATAATTAATCTTGTTTTATATATTTTAAGTGCAATGCAATTTTAAATGATTTGTTTGACATTTTTACATTGAATATTTTAAGATAAATTTTAATGCTTATCTGAATATTTTTATATCTCAAATACCTTTTAAATTAAATTTGCTCATTTATTGATTTTTATTCATTTTTCTATTTTCAATATTTATCTTTCGATTTTTTATCTTTCTGAAGAATTTTATATTGTATGTATTGTGTCTTTCTTGTAAAGGGCCTCCACTCGACAGTGATTGATTTTACTTTTGGAGTGTCCTGTCTCTGTTTTTTGTACTTTTGTGATTGTTCATTGCCGTTTCTATTTATGTACATTCTAATTGTTTGAGACAAATAAATGAAAAAATCTGATAGTGTGGACAGTTTTTATAAACATTGACAAACATGCACAGTTTGCAACCTCCTCTGCTCCCTGGGAAGTACCCTGTGTATTCCTAGTTGATCATATACATTTACATAGTACATTTCAACATAGGTCATTCCCATCCTAAGATGCAATTGTTAAGAGACCAATTTCCTACCATGGCACCATCTACTATAATGTCCTTACTGTATAAATAAAGCTACATTTACACTAGACACGATAATGACACGACAACGACATATCGCGTCGTTTATATTCTTGACTGCATTTTTATCGTGTCGTTGTCGTGTTGTTATCGTGTCTAGTGTAAATGTAGCTTTACTTGGTTGGTTGGTTGCTTGCTTGTATGTCATGTGGATTATATAAATATATGTTGGTGATGTTATCTTGTTTGATGGTTAAATCATTATTTCTTGAAGGTAATAATTGTAATTTTATTTATTCATCAAACCCACTTAGGTTTAGTGGTTAGAAAGATTAAATGATAAAATTGTCATTATGAGGATGAGAAGAACTTATTTCAATGTACAATTTTTATATTTCTTTCAGACAACCAGAAACTAGACTATTATAGAGGAAATTTCAGTAAGTAAAATACTCGGTCGAATTCTTAACAATTGATTATTTGTTATATATTATTAACAAAATTAAGCTTAAGAAAAGAAAAAAAAAAAAGTGGTTTAACTGAAATAAACACACTTATTCGAATTAACTGTATTATTTGTTTGTTCACAGGTACCATCTCTGAATTAAAAATGAACTATAACATATTTTCCTATATAACTTTTTTACAGACGCTTTTAAGAAAATGTTGAAACAAAAACAAAGGGAGCAGCTGAAAGAGTATGAGAAGCAGGAAAAGCGACTACGAGAACTAAAGTCAAGAGGAAAGTCATCAAAGGCTGCCGAAAAGGAAGCAAAAACCGCACAATCAAGGAAACAGAAAGGCAACAAGAGCAAGGGAGACCCTGTAGGAGAGGAGGAAGCACCTGTGGAATTACTCAAGAAGCCTCGGGAGTACACTGTCAAATTCAAATTCCCAAGTCCACCTCCTCTTAACCCACCTATTCTCGGTCTGCACAGTAAGTTTTATATTCTGATCGTATTGTTGACATAAGATGTATATTAGATGAAGATATGTTGAGGATAAATTGTCCATTAAGTACCTCCCTTAAAAATATATTTCAGCAAATTCTATGATTTTAGTGTATGGATTGAAAAAATTTGTTTTAATTCTATGGCAAAACAAGGTTCCATTATTTATACATAGACGTATTCTAGCTTGTAGAGACGATTGTCTTAACCATAACAATTCACCTCCTACCCAAGTTAAATTTACCGTCATTTAACAAAATAATATTTACTTATATTATCATCATAACTACACATCATAAATAATAACAATTATCAATATAGGTATCAGAAAGTAGCAAAATACATTGTAGGCTACACTCACTAGGCCTACAACAAGAAAATTGTTGAATGGTCACAGCACAGATAAGAATGATAACTATGTAGAGTGAAATGCTTAGGCCTCTGGATATCTCCCAGTGGACATTTTTTATCAAACCATTTTCAAGGTTTGGTATGTGTGTGTGTTTCATCTTTTTTATAATTTAGTTGCAATTGCACACAGTACAGACAATGTAGTATGTACTATAATACAATTATTCAATCATTAATGTTACAATTATTTATTTTTCATAGATGTTAAGTTTGGTTATCCAGATCAACCACTACTATTTAAAAACCTGGATTTTGGTATTGATCTAAGTTCAAGAAGTAAGATTGGTTTATAATATGTCACTCTTATGTATTTGTTTTCAAGTTTTACATAAAAAGTTTATGAAAACTGATATGAAAGTTTACCAACACTCAAATTACAAAGTTTTCTCCATGGAATTATTCTACATTAACATAAGTATTTTAGTGAATTCATTCATCATAAATTTTTAACACTTTACTTACTCAAATACACTACCTGTGTTGAGCTAAAATCCTGTCCGTTTTATCAAATTTTATTTGACAAAAGCATGTGACATGCCTAATATGGTCATGATGACATCACATCATAACCATATATAGGCATATCCTGACGTTGTATGTGCATACAACAGTTTTTGTCAAAGAAAATTTAATAATATAGACAGAGCTTTATATGCTTTATTATCTGTATTGCTTACTTTGTAAACAAAACTGTTACAACCTCATCTGTCTCTCATTTGAAGTATACCAGTACATTTATATTTATTGTAATATTTGGTACTTTATAATAAATATATACTTAAATAAGCAATTTGATGTTTTTAATTGAATTTGTTATAGTTGTCCAGATTATACCAAAAGCATATAACTGATTGATTTGTTTTCCCTTTTTAAAGTTGCAATAGTGGGACCCAATGGAGTAGGCAAGAGTACATTTCTTAAATTACTCAGCGGAGAGTTAACACCGGTAAGATTAAATTTCTAACATTTATATTATTATTTTGTATTCTTTCTTCAAGATAAATGTTGCCAATTACAGATAAAAAATATTATCACAGTAAGTATGTTATTTACTGTGACAGTGTTCAGGGGCAGATCCGGTAAGGGGTACGGGGGTACGTTCCCCTGTTTTTGCCAACAATTTTTCAAAACTTCAATGCATATTAATGTTATGTGCTACTCACTTATCTATTGGGTGTTTACACAGTAAATATGGTATTTAGGCAAGTAAGTGAAGTATGAGAAATAAACAGTTGATCCTAAAATGCATCAGTGTTCTTACTGTATAAGACTAATGATTTAATAAGAGATACAAGAAGTTAATATATAGAACAATATTATTGTATTTGTATTTCTTAGCCTATTGCTATCACCTGAAAACACCATGAGACTGATGAAAGCTTGTAGAATTTAATAATGTTAGCAAATAAAAATAAGAATGATTATAAATAATTAATAATTAGTAATCAGTATTTTTTTTTTTCATTGAATTGTTTAGCTTGAAGGAGACCACACCAAGAACCATCGTCTCAGGATAGGTGTGTTTAACCAGCATTCAGCTGACCAGCTGACAATGCATGAGTCACCAGTTGAATATTTACAGGTAAAACTTCAAACATTTATTTCATTTTAAATTTATCTATGGAGTGTATAAAAAGATATCTCAATACATTTGGATTACCGATTGTGCCTGTTGTTAGAAAATCAGTAGGACAGAACCATGCTAAACCATTATTCTGAAGAATACATTAGAATGTAGTGTTTTAGAGATAAATGCTGAAGTCTGCTTTGGAAAGATGTCTTGGAGATAAATACTCTTTGTAATTAAAGGAAAGAGAAATATATAATTTATACAAAGTACACAATTTAAATATATTGTTCCAAGGTTATTTGCTCACAAAATTATTTATTATTTGTCTCTTCTCTTATACGCTAAAGCGTAATTTCAATCTAGATTATCAGAATTGTCGTAAGCTTCTTGGTCAGTTTGGTCTAGCAGGTCACGCACACAACATCAAGATTTCAGACTTATCCGGTGGACAAAAAGCGAGAGTGGCTTTAGTGGACATGTCCAGCCGTCAACCGGATGTTATTATTCTGGTAATTTTTGCTATGATGTTCCTGTTTATTACAAGCAATATTGATAAACAATTTTTTGAATGCTTTTATCAATCTTAAAGCCAGTACTGAGTGGCATCGTTTATGTTATTTTTTAGGATGAACCCACAAACAACCTGGATATAGAGTCTATAGATGCATTGGCAGATGCTATCAATGAATATACTGGAGGTAGGCAACAATTTCAATTATACTAATAATAATTTAAAAAATAAATAAAATAATAATAATAGTATTAATAATAATAATAAAAATAATGACGACTCATATATGTGGCAGTATCTGTCAACGTGTATGTGTTTCTGTTGGTTATAAGATATAATTGGTGAGTCGAATGGCCGAGTGGTTAGCAGGGGCGCCGCAAGCTATAGCCATAATATCGGCGCTGGTTCGAACGGTACGCTCGCCTATGGTTCTGGTGGTAGAACAAGTCTTCTAGGATAAGGACTTTAAACCGTAGGCCCAGTGTATGCAATGGCTCGTGTGCACTATAAAGAACCCAGTACATCCTTCGAGAGTAGGGGGATACCCCGGTGTACTTTAACTGACAGACCCTGTGGTGGACGACGAGAGTTGCTGGTACCGGGTTACCGGGTAGCACAGACACGAAGGGACCCTTAGGGGCAAAGAAAGTCATTGATTGAGTTCCTATGCCACACATCAAGCGCCCTGAGCATCTTACATTAGATGGATATGTACGCTATATAAAACTACACTATTATTATTATTATTATTATTATAATATAATAATAATGGAACATTTCTATATTATTACAATAAACTGCCTCTATGCACATTACATTATTACCGCTGGTTGCTGAGCCAAACTCCTATTGAATATATCCTCAGCTCCCTGGGGAGCACAATTCCATATGCCACTAGAATCAACACTTGGTATTAGATCCTACCAGATGCCCACTTGTACTCCCGTGTTGAGAGAGAAAAATGTAGATAAGGTGCATTTTCCAGGGGTGGATCCACACTTGTTCAAACAGGGAATGTAAGGGCACAGCATTTTCAGAATAGATAAGTAAGTGAGTAGCACTTATTTCAAGACATAACATTGATATGCATTGACATTTTAAAATTTAGTGGCAAAACAGGGTGAGATGTTCCCTCGTGCCCCAACTGGATCTGCATTTGTTTTCCAAGGACACAATGAAATAGCACTATGAGGATTATGAATAATTTTTCCCATAGTCAATAGATACAATAATGCTTTATGTGCAACCTCCTTCCATCCCTGGAAAGTAGGCCCTATTCCCTGTCATGCAGCTATCTAGCAATACATAATCTTCCATTCCATATTATAATCATAATCATTATCATAATTATTATCATTATCATAATCATTATCTTTCATTCCATATTATTATCATAATTATTATCATAATCATAATCATTATCTTTCATTCCATATTATTCATCCCCTGTTTAAATTCATTTGTGAAAAGAGGCAAATGCAGAAAGTAATTTGACCATTGGACAATTATTATTAGCCATTCTTTGACAGAATATTTGGCTACCAGTGACTAGCATGCCTAGAATGGTATTATGGCTTCTGGCCAGTATTGGTCTCAAACTAATGACCTCACTATTGATAGCCTAAATCCTTACTGCTGTGCCACACTTACAATATTATTATGGCATGTCTATGTATGACAAAATTTGTAAACAGAAAAATTTCAAAAATAGTGCATATTGGTAGTTATTGCGTTATTTGTTTGCATAGTATTTATGTATCGAAAGATGATGTGCAAACATTTTATCCCTTCTTTTCATTACTCTACTTAACGTTTATATTCCATAGGTGTGATAATAGTTAGTCATGATGCCCGTCTCATTCTTGAGACCGAGTGCCAGTTGTGGGTCGTAGAGGACAAAGACATCAACGAGATTGATGGTGACTTTGATGACTACAAGAGAGAAATATTAGAAGAACTGGGTGAAATTGAAAAAGAAGTGAACAACAAGAAGAACCAAAAGAAGAAATAAATTATTCTACATCATTTCATGGATAATAATTGTGATATTTATTTAAGACACAGGGGTCCCAAGTCTCCTGCAAGTTGTAGGAGTCTTCTGGGAATCAGGACGGCCTCCTGCACTCCCGCAAGCAAGCAAGAATCTCACAGAAAATGAACCATCTAAACCATCACAGCTACTATACCTTCGGATAATCCATCACCATCGCGGAAGCCAGTGCAGATGGATATTATCTTGCAGCAAAATAAAATTAAATGTGTTAAAAAGGCTCATTTCATCAAATCTCTCGGAAGTGACTTCTTCCAAATTGGACCTCTGAAGACATATCAACAAAAATTCTTAGAATCAACAGTAGTAGCAGCACTCATTTACAGCAAAAGATATTGAAAGTGTAAGATCAAAATTTTAAGAATGCTGGAGAGGTCTGAAGATGAAACCTCTTTCAAAGGCAACAAATAGACTGATTCCATAATGGGCGTCACGTAACTTAGCTTGGGTCCTGGATGTAAAAAATTCACTGGCACAGCGGTGTTTTACATTGAGATTGCTATTGCGGCCGTCTCTTGTCATTGCTGTGAAGTTCATCAAAACTCCCAATAAACTACACCAAATTGATTGGAAATTAAACATGAGCATTTTGCCTTAAAGGCTTGCTAATGCTCCAAAGGATACCGACCGCAAACATTAAGATTTTTCGTCAGATGTCAGGGCCTAGACGATTTTAAAGCTAGCTAGGGTTTACGAAGGATCACTTAAATTCAAAGCATACAATGCTAGGAGAAATCAAGGATAAATAAACACTATTTTGAACAATTGTAGTAAATTTCCTTGCCATTTATTTCTCACTATTAACTGTAGGTGGTTATTTTCACCACCATAACGTTACTTTTTCCTATATTTTTACACTAATTGCACTGTAATGTTTTCCATGGTATACCCAAGTTATGTCACCTTACTGGCTGTGTAAACCACCATTGCTGAATCAGTATGTTGTTAATGTTGTAAAATCTAATGTCATTAATTCTTAAGAGGTGTGTATAAGCATCTCAGTTGTATAGAGCTTTGTTTCAAATGCAGATTCTTACTGTAGTCTAAAATCTAATGCTGTAAATGGTGGAGACGTCTAAAGATATGGATACTCTGCTGAAATTTGTCTCTTTGCGAATAAGGTTTTAGTGTAAGATCTGATGTAAATACTAAGAGGTCTGCAGATAACACCTCAGCTGTATAGGAGATTTAATGTCAACATACAAATGGATAACTCTGAGTTGGAAAGCACACAATTTGTTTGGGATAATATACAATAATTCAATAGTGGAAACAGATAATGTTAAAAGATTCCTATTTCACACTGTTTCACAATTCTTTTTTTTTTACTATAAGAAAGTATACACAAAATATTTGGATTTAATATTATTACTTTTTATTTGTATACACTAATGGTTGTGTATGTAGCCAGTACTTTATAAAGGCAGTTATTTAAATTCAATTGGACTAACAACTCTGGTCCCTCAGCTGTATTTGTCAATAGTCCATTCCTTTCCACCCCCCCCCCCCCCCCCCCCCTTGCTGGTGCCAGCCTATGCCCTGCATATGTTATGCACTTTAATAAATCTTTAAAGCTTGGTTTTTATTTTATGGTTTACTATAACATTAGAATTTTATCAGATACAGGTTTAAAAACAGGTTATACATATTCAGTCTATTACTATTTCTATATGTTCAAAATGTATTGTTTTAGAAGAAAATAATTTCTATGTCTGTGCCTCTTGCTCTAATTTTCCTTTTTTTCATTTGATACTGAATGAAATGTTTTTAAAATAATAATAAAAATATTAAGTACATTACATACAGTACCCATGCATTTTTATATGAAGCTTGCTATCCTAAATCTAGCATACTGTCGCTAAATGTTAAACTGAGTAATTAGCGGAAGAATATGGAAGTATTGTATACTTTAGCACAGAGAAGCCATGATACTTTTACACATAACATTAATAATAGTAATAATAAGTCTATTCCAGTATATGACCCATCATTTTAAATCTTATAACGTGGAGAATATGAATATATTAAAAGGTCAATTTTCATCAGTATGGATTGCGAAATCCCAAAAAAACGATTTTCACATCCTTGGCACTGGTGACTTCAGGGGATTGGTGATGGTACCATTTTTCGGCTAGTGTTATTATTGCTTTTGTTAGTATTATTATTAATAATATTCAGGGGTGGTGCCAGGATTTGCCCGACGGGGCAACACACAAGTGGACAGTCGACCTTAAACCTCTGCTTCTCAACCTATGTTTCGCGACCCCAATTTAGGTCGCCAAAACATTTATGAGGGTCGCGAGATTGCTTTTTGAAACATAGTGAAAATTACTTAGCGGTCAGTCCTACAAAAAGGAATCTTGGGATTTTCAAAGCAATCTTGGGATTTTTTAGACTGAATCTTGGGAATTTTTATTTTTCCCAGTGGTCACACTGGCTACGAAGGCGAAATCAGAAATTATTGTCAACCCAAATCCTAGAAGCAACTGTCATGGTTGGCACTGTCTCCAAGGAAGACAATTATAATTAGGCAGGAATATACCTCACACTACGTGCCAGTTAATAAACAAAATGTTTAAAATGATTTGTTGCTTTTTGAGTTCGTTTGAGCCTTTTTAAGAGTGGGTTGGGATGTACAAGCTTCTTTTTTAAAATTTATATTTTAGTGCCCAGTCATCGTCAAAAAAGTCGAGCGTTTACTAGTCAAGAATGCCATTTTCGACCATCAAAGTGCCGTAATCATACGTTTTCTTACCTCTGCCCTAACCATGGTGAGGCTAAGGTGGTATTATTTATCTGTGAAAGTCCTTCCCGGGGCCCCCTCTATTTGGAATCACTGGATCAGTAGTTCCTCCATATTATAAAATTGAACATTCAGCAAACAATATCATGAATCTAATGTCGAAACGATTTTTCACCACTACTTTGTGCTCGACTAAGCCGAGGCTTATGGCTCGTGGGCCTAAGTAATCAACACAGGTATGACAATATACGCATTGGGGGTGGGTCGCCACCTAAAAAAAGCCTTGAGAAGCAGGGCCTTAAACTAAAAAGTTTTGCAGCTAATAATAAATAAAAGCTAAACAAAGTCAGTTAAAGAAAAGAAAATAAATTTAGACAAGGCTTAACATTTTAGGGGGTTTATATTAAATGCTTTTTAAATTCCAATTAAAATAACATCCACTGTTAAAATAAAGGCTTAACACTAACAGAATGTTGTCCGAAATTGGACTGCATAATATCTGGCCATGCGTACGCAGTAGGGAATTTCCCTACTGTATTGACGAACCATAACTGAAAACTGAGGGCGCTACTTGCTTTAAAAGGGATTCACGACGGCTGGATTTAGGGGACGTTTAATTTAAATTAAATGATTTTTAATCCAGTTAAAATATAGCTCCACTGTTAAAATAAAGGGTAACGGTCACCCCTGCATTAACGTGGTGAGTGGGGTATCCGCAAATAATGTACTGTACCGCTATGGTACCACCATTGGAACCACGTGTTGTATGAACAGAACCGTCCAGAAACTGATGACGTCATGATTCAATATTCTCGATCGAACCCTTGCATGCTCAGTGCTTTGTGTTTAAATTGTGTATGCTTAGTATTTAAGCCTACTTTTTCAATATATTAATACCAGTAATGTCTGTAAAACAGAATGTAAGTTGGATTCTTTATTTTAGTACCAGGAGATTTTATGTGTTTAGATATTAATGATAAATTTGTTTTAAACTCGACACAAATCAAAAAAGGCCTAGGCCTTGGTGTAGGGCCTTACTACTATAGTATAGTAGGCCTCCAATCCGTGGCCGTAGTACTACTACAGACAGTACTTATTGCTACAACTAGGCCTAGTACTAGGGTCTACTCTAGAATGGTGCTATAAGCCCAAAATTATAATGCTGCTGTCAGTGTAGGTTATGGCACATGTCAGGCAGAGTAGGATATTTTAGACAGTCAACAGAATTTTGAGTCATGAACAATAACATGGCTGGAGTAAAAAAGAATACCTTCCCGACTATAGAGATCAAGGAGGTACTTTATTGCAATGGCTATTGTTACACCATTTCTAAATTTGATTGGGTGATGAAATTGCAATCCATAATCCAGTCAGAATTAGGAATTTAAAGACTGGTGTAACAATTTTTATTGAGGTATAAAATGATTTAAAAATTGCAACTGATGTCTGAAAATATATAGTTTCTTACAAGTACAGTAACTGCATTCATAATCAGGGGCACAGGCTGGTTTTGGCCTTATTCCAATGACAACTTAATGGTCATTTTTACTAATTTTTAGTATTTAGTGGAACTAATTTGCCACCATGTGGTTGGGATGGGGAGGGGGAGGACTTTCCTCAGTGGCAGCAAGACGACATTGAAATAAAAAATTTAAAGACTTATAAAGTCTCTTTTTGACCACTGCATAAATCATAGATATGGTGATATTTATAATTTTATTTACACATTATTGCATTTTCAGTCTAGATATTGTTGGTAAAAAAAGTTTTTTTTTTTTTAAATTATGAATTTATATTTTTAAGGAATACAATGTTATTATTGAACCCTTTCAATTCTAGCAGTTAGTTCAGGACGTTGAGGAGGTGCAACATCTTCTGTCGTTAGCAACAAGAGAAAGAGTTAAAAATTTACTTACAACAGAACAACGTCGATTAGAAACAGAGATCTCTAAACTGAAAGATGTAGAAACTGAGAACAGCACTGGAATCAATGTGGCAACTAAAGCACCCACACCAAAGCAGTTTACAGCAAACAGAATCACTAATTATGGTAAGAATGAACTAAAAAACAGATTAATTAATTGTATTATTAAATTAATTTATTTTAATTATTATTGATCTTTGGTCTCTAAAACACAATAGAGCATCATTAGCGCACTATTAGTGGGTAGTAATAAAAATCACTTTTTGAAATTTCTACTTAAATTATTACTATCTTTTGTATCGATTGTGTGCAACTTTCACATTGTCCTTTAAACAAGATGCACACTTCATTGCGTTTTAAGTGGAGTTGCATTGGTGCAATCTATACGTGACTTTATGTGTAGATATTTACATATAGCACACCCAGCTCAGACTGTCCATTGTCTCTTCCAGCAAAATACTGTTCCTGTAGTTACCAAATAAATGTTTTCCTGTTATTCCATAGGATGGGACCAGTCAGACAAGTCAGTAAAGGTGTATGTCTCATTGAAAGGAGTTCATACAGTTCCAGCCGAAAATGTAACAGTAAAACACACCAACAGGTATAGATTCTTGTCATTTGATTGGTTGATTATGTATGTCACAAACAACTTTGTATATTTTTTTAAAATGTTTTGATTGATCATAACAGCAGAGATTATTTCGCATGTATAAATACACCTAACAAATGACTTTTCCATCAGTTCTGAAATAAGAGCCTAACAAATTGTGTATTCAATATATTTAAATTTGATTATTTCTTTAGTTCATTCAACCTGATAGTACAGAACCTTGAAGGCACCAATCATCAGCTGCTTATTGGCAATCTTCTTCATGAAATTGATGGGGAAAACTCATCACACAAGGTAAAATTAAATATATTGTAGTTGAATGGTGATAGAAATTACTTTCCATAAATATTTGAAATTTGTAGAGCTGTAGCTTGGTGGCTAAATTTGTTGCCTTTAGTATATTTCTTTGACAAATGCTAAAAACACATAAACACAGTGATTTAATTAAAATACCATTGAGATAGGTTTACCAATAATTGAACCTAATCATTGTCAAAATTTGTCTCCTAATATATTAAGAATTATACATTATTTTTGTTTCTGTAGGTGAAGACAGACAATCTAGTTTTGTTTTTGAGGAAAGCAGAAAAGAAGACATGGAAATATTTGACAGTAGCTGAACAAAAATCCAAAGTAGAGAAAGAGTAAGTCTCAGGCAAATCTATAGATGGGATGCTTTATTCTGTTTTACTTGTACAATAAACAAGTCACAAAATGGTGTCATTTATGTTCAAGAGATTCCAAAACATACTTTTTAGCTCCGATGAGGAGCTCTAGGAATACCCTGCTGATTGTGTGCTTTTTTGCTGATTGACTGCTTTTTTCACGGCTGAGTGACTGCTTTTTTCCTGATTGACTGTGCTTTTTTCACACCTGATTGACTTTTTAAATTTTTAGAGAGAAAAGAAAAATGTAACAATCTTGTCTGTGAATTGAACCAGGGACTTCTCACACACTAACCAACATTTATGCCTCTAGACCAATGAGCCATATTTAATTTACAATTTTGAATGAGATCTAGGAATAGAGTACAACAGTTGTGTCGCCTCAAAACCAGGTGGCGCGTTTTGATGTCAACCAGACATTGGTTACCGTTAATTACGCCTGAATGTCATCATAATCTTAATGGTTTAGAATAAGCTTTCTGGAATAGGCATTTTAAAACCTAATAATTTACAATCAAAATGTACTGAAAACACAAAATTTTGCATTATTTTAGTTATCGAACACGCATTTAATCATCAATTGAAATTTACAAAGAAAAACTAAGATACAACTTCTTATAACTACGTTAGAAATTAGGATCAACGATTTGTTATTTGAGAAAATGGCATCCGGTTGAACACATTTTGTGTCGCCGATAGCAACGGAGTAGTATCACGTGGTATCATGACTTAACACTGTAGTACTCTATACTTGACTGAATGATAGTTCTTTTTTGCTGATTAATAGATCTTTTTTCGTTTTTGGAGAAAAAAATAATAACTGGCTCATCTGGGAATTGAACCAGGTACCTCTCACACCTTAAGCTACATTCATGCCTCTAGACCAATGAGTCACAGTTATTGTGTGTTTTTGAAGGACCTCTAGGAATACTCTGATTGATTGTTTGATTTATTAAAGTCCAATTAAAATGATGCTTTTTAAGTTGCTGATTATTGAAGTATTACATATATTTAACAAATGAGTGGTAATAAAATATTTAATTTTTGGTTTATAAATATTTAAAATGACGGTTAAAAATATTAGTATAAGCCCCGCCCACTGGAGATGTTCACTGAAGTGTGAGTAGAGTTGATGACGTAGATTTGGTATAACAATCACAGCCATCCTGTTTATGTAATACGAAAGTATGTAATACAAAGATCTTTTTTGTATGGGCAGCCCTTAGGGCCAACACAACACTCGACTGCCCTCATCAAAGGTTTCAAGATTACGAGAACTTGTTTCTGTAACACCACCGTACCTCAAATTTGTCAAAAGAGTAAACAATATGATTAAGTTTCATTTTCAGCAGATGGATGGCCCCTAATATTTTAACAATTAATTAAATTAACATGCCTGGTAATTGTGGTATCTATAAAAAAATTTTCTCTCTTTTTCCAGTCTTAAGAGTGCGCCACCAAAAATGGATGAAGATAAAGACCCTTCAGCAGGTATTATGGACATGATGAGGAAAATGTATGAGGAAGGGGATGACGAAATGAAACGAACAATTGCTAAGGCGTGGACCGAGTCGCGTGATAAAAAAGACATACTGTAATGACGAGGGTGCTGTCGGGAATATTGCAACAGAACAATTTAAGACACTGGGGCGGAGGGAAATGTTTTTTGAATGACGTGTCAGCAGAATTTTTATATCACTATTACAACTTGGTGGAAAAATCATGATGGCTTGGGTGGCGTTGATCAGTAATGAAGGGGTTTTCCTTCGTGTTGTGACATAGTACTCTATTTGATATCTGGCGTTACATTTCATTATCTTCCTTGAGTGAGAATTGACGAATGTACAGATTATGCAGTTCAGTCTATTAAATCTTCATTTTACCCAATAAGTGTTTTTTTTTTTTTTTTCATATTTTCATAAGACCTGAAAGACCATGAAATGTAGTCCTATAGTATTTCTATTAGCTGATTTAGACTTTTACAATTTTCTTTAGTCAGCAAGGAAATGGTAAACTCAAAATCATCTAGAATTTCTATTAGCTGATTATTGGCTTTATCATTTCCTTGCTGGCTAAAGAAAATACAGTTACAATTAATTGCATATGGATTTTACAGCTGTTTGGTCATTTCTTCTCACCATAGTTTTTAATTTTAGTTCTATGCAAACAGTATAAATGAATTTAGGTTCAATTCTTTGGTTTCTCTTTGGAATGTAATTCTATTCTCTCAAAAAAGAACTACCGTGACCTAGGGGCATTCTTCATACAGGTTATTACTGAACATGAAAATCTACTATTACCTGTCATCTACTATTACCTTTCTATTAACTGACTGATAAATAATTGGAATATGTACACTTTTGCGTACACATAAAAGTTATTCCTATTAAACATGCTCTGTATGTAAAGAATGCCTGTTCAATTTATGTGTCGGGTGCATGCCAAAGCTACATTTATACTAGACACGATTATGACAATGACACAATACAGATATTCGCAGTGTTGAAGAATACAAGCTGCGTGATGATGTCGTCTTGTCGTTATCGTGTCTAGTGTAAATCTAGCTTTACTCATGCTAGTTCAATTGCATATTTTGTTCCATTGTGGGCTTGCAAAATCATGGAGAGTTGAACCTCTTTCCATTATATATAATATACGCTGTTCTTTACACCAATGGCGTATCTAGAAGTCTTGAAATGCTGATAGGGAAGCGCGAAGGTGAAGTGGGGGCTCGATGATCATTTGAGGGGCGCTAACTCACAAATTAAGGTGATTTTTAACTACTTGCAATTTTGAGGGAGTGACTGGGGGGACGTGATCTCCCCCCCCCCCCCAAAAGATACGCCACTGCTTTACACAATTTTTTTTTTCTGGAAGCATGTAAGAGGCTTTAAGCAGTATGCAATTTACAAAAGGAAATAATTTAACTACCAGGCAAAAATATAATGTTCATAATAATTCATACCAAGATTGGTATTAAAATTGACAATAAATGCCAATTTTGCATCAGCAGTTATAGAAGAGTTGTCCTTCATTTACAAAATACCTATTGCATAGAAAAGTATTAATCCAAGAAGATTTATACTATCAGAATACTTCTATGTAGATTCCTTTCCATTTACATTCTGTCGAAGGCTAACATACAGAATGAACATAATGGTCCTGTTGCTTTGATTTTTTTTTTTTTCGTATCATGCCATATTACCATTATTTGTACACATTTTGTAGCATGTTTTTTAAGACTCCCTTATTCATATACGCTTTATTGGTCCATGGACATTAAATTACAAAATGGAATAAGAATTTCAGAATCTGTTTTTGTTGGTGTGAGCAACTACTTATAAACCAGGTCTGCTGAAACAGTGGACTTGTTGGGGTGCATCTCAAAAGATTTGCACATGTTTCCGAGAAGAAATGAACCTTTCTGGTAAGCCCCGCCCCATTAATATTGTTGCTAGGCACTGATCTCTACTATCCAAAAGATACGCCACTGCTTTACACAATTTTTTTTTTTCTGGAAGCATGTAAGAGGCTTTAAGCAGTATGCAATTTACAAAAGGAAATAATTTAACCACCAGGCAAAAATATAATGTTCATAATAATTCATACCAAGATTGGTATTAAAATTGACAATAAATGCCAATTTTGCATCAGCAGTTATAGAAGAGTTGTCCTTCATTTACAAAATACCTATTGCATAGAAAAGTATTAATCCAAGAAGATTTATACTATCAGAATACTTCTATGTAGATTCCTTTCCATTTACATTCTGTCGAAGGCTAACATACAGAATGAACATAATGGTCCTGTTGCTTTGATTTTTTTTTTTTTCGTATCATGCCATATTACCATTATTTGTACACATTTTGTAGCATGTTTTTTAAGACTCCCTTATTCATATACGCTTTATTGGTCCATGGACATTAAATTACAAAATGGAATAAGAATTTCAGAATCTGTTTTTGTTGGTGTGAGCAACTACTTATAAACCAGGTCTGCTGAAACAGTGGACTTGTTGGGGTGCATCTCAAAAGATTTGCACATGTTTCCGAGAAGAAATGAACCTTTCTGGTAAGCCCCGCCCCATTAATATTGTTGCTAGGCACTGATCTCTACTATAATAGCTATGGATTCCCATAGCTATTACAATAGAGATCTGTGTGAACACAAACGAAAAAACACGTGCTTGTGAGATGCGCGCGTATTCTTGGCCATGTTCTGATTGGTCAGTTGATTAAGTTTGACACTCACAAAGACACCTAAAAACATCATGCTGTATTCATTGAATTTGTTTTTAAGCACTTTTAAAAAATCATTATTATTACAGTATTTACGAAAGTATAATACATACTCCAAGTATTGAAATACACGCCATCGTGTTGGGATTCAATATTTCGACATTAATTATGTCATCATCAGGAAACAGTATTTACAAAAATAGATATTTTTTCTCTGAAAATATATAACTGATTACAGTTACTATGCTTCACACACAAACGTCTAAATATTTTGGTATAAAATGTAAGCATGATTTAAAATAGGGAATAGCAAAGATATTTGCATTAGTAAACGTGTAAATAAAAAAAAATGTTTAAATTTAAAAAAAAAATTCTCTGTGAACCGGTACACACATAGCCCTATTTACTGTAATAAGAATGATAAAAAAAAAATTACCTGACCGTTTACAAAAGTGGAAAACCTTGAATTTTGATTAAAAGACACTTCAGAAGTCCGGAAAACTCATTTCTCGCCATCTAAGAACCAACATTTTCCCGGGAAGACCCCCGACCCCCGTCTTATTTGGGATTAATCAATTTATTGAAAAAAGAAAATGTATGCAAGCGACTCAATTTTTGTTATGTACTGTACATACACACATAGTAGGGCTACTAGTATTTACAATAATAAGAATGAAAAGTTTACCTGACCGTTTTCAAGCGGAGCAAAACTTAAGTCATTAAAAGTCACCTCAGAAGTCGGGAAAGTTCATTTCCTGCCATCTAGTGATCAAAATTTTCCCGGGGAGGGCCCCGGGCCCCCTTCTTCTTTGGGGTTATCCATTCATGGAAAAAAGAATACAGTACGTAAGCAACTCAATTTTTTTTAATGTACGTATACACACATAAATAGTCCTATTTACTGTAATAAGAATGAGAAATTTTACCAGACCGTTTTCAAGAGGGGGAAAACCTTGAATTTCTAAAAACTTAAAAGTAATTAAAAGACACCTCAGAAGTCTGGAAAGCTCATTTCCGGCCATCTAAGAATCAAAATTAGGCCTAGGCCTACATTGAAACTCACATTGGCTTTATTAATAATATTTTTGCTTATGTACCTGTATTATCAACAAACACTCCCTGAAATCGTTTTAAAACAGCTTAAAAATGCTCAGATCGTCGGTATGCTCAGATCGTCGGAGCGGCGGGGGGAGGTGAGTGTTCCCCTGCACCCCCCCCCCGCCAGCTGGTACAGTCACTCACGCATTTCAAATCTCTCAGGTTGGTAACTATGCATAATATATATTATATAGTAACAATATTGAATGGTTCATGTTGTTAAAATGGATGATGATGATGGTGATGATTACGATGACTTGTCGAATTCTTTTTTGTAAGATGGAGAATGTGTGAAAGGGAGATTCTTTCTGATGTCCAAGTTTTCCTGGAGCATAGCAATGAATGTCAAGTTATTCAAAACAACGGCGTTGCAGTAGAGGGGCTACCTGTGCCAAATCTATTTTGCAATCATGAGGAAGCTGACACAAGGATGATACTGCACAGTGTGTGTGCAGCAAAGTCAAACAGTCGCATTGTTGTCAACCCCAGATACAGATGTGTTTATTAACTTACGGAAATAATAATAATAATAATAATAATAATAATAATAATAATAATAATAATAATAATAATAATAATAATAATAATAATAATACCAAGTCTTGTTGAATATTAGCCGTATTAATTTTCATTGAACTGTATCACTTTACTAGTGAATCTGAGATTTCATTATTTGCGTTATTCGCAATAGATATAATACTAATAATCCATCAAGAAAATGTGACTTTTACAAGAAAACTGTTTTTAAAGACATTGTATTATATTATAACTCTTATTATTATGTTCTGTTTCGAAAATTACAGCCATGTGATGTCTAATTTGCTCATAAACCCAATACTTTAGACCATAAAAGGCCGTTATTATAGAAAAGGGGCCCTTAGCAACGAAAATAGCGTAATTCATACATATTTCACATTATATCTCATTATTATGCATTATGTATTAATATTTTTGTTCAGACTCTACATATGAATACTTAATACAATTGTGTATATTTTGAGAAAAGAAATGTACACTCATGCTAGTATTAGTGGATTTAAATGCACCGTTGCTAAGGGAAAACCTCCATAGCAACCGAAAACTTATATTTTTTTTTCGTTAATGTGTAAGAACGGAACGTGGGAATTTATTTTCACAACGCTAATGGTGACTTAATTAACATAAAAGCAAGTACTTCCACGGTGTGTTCTACGCATTTTTGAGGTCTCGGCCCACGATCCGTTCAGATTGCTACCGACAATCAGCAGACGGCGTTGCGTCATCTATCGTTCACAGGGAGCGGAGTTGGATTTGTAGTACGACGCGTCACGCAGTGAGTGCCCGGCATTATTCTTTTTTAAATAATCATAAAAATTACAATTTTTCATGGGACCTCATTTATGCAAAATGTGTTTAATTTTTTAATCAGTCTATTATGTATGTATTTTTATTTATTGCACAGGATTTACTGATTATTTTTGGAATTAGAGGTTTATAAAAGGATACTTATTGTGTGATTAATCCTAGTGCTTTCTAAGACGGAGTCGACGTTAAGGTATCATTTGAAACATCTTACTTGAATCTATTATTCTGTGTATGATGATGGTGATAAGGCATACAGATTTTATAAAAAATACAAAAACAGCATGGTGTCCCTGTGCATTTATGCATACGTACTTGTGACATAGTTTTATGTATTTATTGAAACATTGATACAAACCAAAATTGTCGGTTATTTCATTTGAAACAAATGTCAGTATAATCGCAGGTAAGCAGGTGGTTAGCATAAGCAATGAAACTGTTTATCATCTTGATACCTTCCGACGAAAATTGACCCTACCGGCGTCACCACGGCGTCCCCACCGATCGATCTAACGTGACGTTGTTTATGTGGGTGTTTTATAGATTATTGAGAATGGTAATATAACCGAAAAAGATAATATGACAGTTGAATGACCGACAAAGACAACTGAAGACAATAGTTCGTCATTAGAAATTATTTAGTATAACTTTATTCGGAAAATTAATCTCAAAATCGAGTTGCCGTCCCCGGCGTTGTCAGTGACGTCGTATGATTTGTGTGCGATTTTTACCAATTAACCCGTAAGTAAAAAATATTTGAGCCATGTAGTACCTTGCAAATCAACCCAGAAACCCAGTAGGTTGTTGATTGTTTATTGGTAGGGTCCCTTTGCTGCCAAAATAGTTTTTTGGCAGTTGCGTCCCTGGTGATATCGTGAGGGTATGGTGAATGCTGGTTACGATTTGGTGGCACATCGATTGAGTATTTTCATTCATCTGGCCATGTAAATCAGTGGCGTATCTAGATACCTTTAAATGGGGGGACTCATGTGGAGAGGGCGCGAAGGTGAAGTGGGGGTGGGGGGCTCGACGATCAGTTGAGGGGCGCTAATTCGCAAAATAAGGTGATTTTAGGTGATTTTTAACTACTTGACCGTGATTTTTTTGTTAAATAGATTATAAAAATATTCAAATTAGATATGGTTGGTACAAAGAAAAATGGTTCGGTTGGGAATCAAACCCACGACCTCCAGCTTATCTAGTCAGATGAAAACCACTACAAATGATATTATGATGCGAGTTTTCCTTTAAGAAATATCATAGGAGTGATTATTTGCTCTACCTGACGTGTTATCGTACCGAACTCAGTACGTTTCAAAACATTAGTCATTAATTTAAAAAAAAAGCAAAAAAAAAAAACATGGTCATGGTGTCGAAAGTAAAGAAAAACTTAAATATTCAAATTAATTGTTATCAATAAATATATCTTATGAAGCCCTTTACATTGCTTGGGGAAATCCGTCACTGACTTACCATAGTATTCCTGACCTCTATATACATAACTTACCTTAATATTTGCTTGTTTCGTCTTATATCTGACTTACTGTAAGAAATGGGGCCCGGGGTTTCTCCCCCGGGAAAATTTTGGCGATCCGTTGGTTCCGCGCCGTCGCGTGCATT